GAAACTGCTGGAAATACTCCTTGGATACACAGATCCTGCTAGAACTGGAGGGATCTAAACTGCACATTGGACATCAGGCAGTCTGCACTGCAGCAGCCAGGAAAATGGACATAGTTCCTTCCTATCCTTTACTGACAATTAGGGAAGTGAGGACCAACTCAGGGAGCTGAACTTGGCTGACTGGTTCAAGGTCATGCTCAGAGAAGTCACGGCAGGCCTAAAGAAACAGCTATTTGATGTCTGACTCACAACATACCATCTCCTTCTAGTACTCACGTGAGTAAAGAGCTGCAGGATTAGCATCTAGAGAGAAAAAAACCAATAGAAATTGGCCTATCAGTTACCCCTCATTTTCCACATTACCTCTCTAAACCACCAAAGGGCAATTCCCCTCCCTGTTTCACAGCTGCTGCTCTCATACAGTCAAGGTCTGTATGACTGACCAGAGTCTGACCCTGAAATACTCCTCCTCATTTGCAGTCTCAGTTGCAAACACGGGGTGAGAATCCAACTTTTGGTTTTAATTAGTTGGTTTCTCACTTTTTGGAGGTCATTTGTGCGTTCTCAAATTGAAATACTACGCATATCATTACCTCTGAGGGTGGCCTGGAATGAATTTTGCTGGTATGCTAGATCTAAGTCTTGCAAGAGGAGAGGAGAGCTCCACACGCAGCAGCACTTTCAGAGACAAGAATTTGCTGGGCAGAGTGCACATATGCATTTGATGTGACCTTCCCATGAAAAACTGATGGGTTTTCCCTCCTTTTCATCACCTCTTTAATTGCTGCAAGAGAAGTGGAAGATTTCAGGACTGGAGCTATGGTTAAGTGTTTGTGTTAAATTGCATTCTCTTACTGCACTAGGAATCGACTCCGCGTGCTCCTTCCATTGCAGAAGGAAGCAGGTTTTCTTGGCATTTATTTGGGTGCAAGCCAGGCATAAGATGGAGTAACTTTCCTCTGGAACTTGCTATGAGCTGATTAAGTGCAAGTTTCTACAAATAGTTCTACCACTAACGAACTTTAGAAGGAGAAACATTCCTGCATGAGGATTTCCAGTGGGTTGCAAATCTGTCATTCAGGAGGAGCAGTCTGCTAACACACATTATCCCAGACTGCCTACTTCAGGGTGTCAGGCACCAGCACTCATGCAGGCAGCCTAGATGGGATGCTAGGCTGCCCCTTAAGTCTTCCTCCTTCTGCATGGGAGGATGAGCACTTCCAAGCTTCAAGGCTGAAGACTCAGACTGAGCTGTCTCAAAGCTTTGTACAAGCACATGATACTGCCCAGAATGCCCCACATGCTCCTGGGGCCAGTCCTCCCTGTCACATGCTGAGGGGGGACAGGACATCCAGCCCCGTCCTCAGGTATGGGGCCAGATATTCCAAGGCTACTCCTCACCAGGTGTCTTTTTCTCTATATTTACCCTTTTCATTCTTCAAGCAAACATCCCTCATCAGTTGTTTTGACACTGGTTTTGTGTGTTTGTTACAGGGGGATGATGGATGGAATGAGCTTCCTGGCAGCCCAGAAATGGATGTTCCATCTCAGTGTCCCCACCGTGCTGCCACACGTGGACGTCTTGAGAATCGTGCCAGGGAGGAAATAAAGCTCAGGGGCATTTCAGCAGAAATGTATTTGGGCAATCCTTAGAGAAGACCAAGACGTAACAAGATTATTATTTCACTTTTATAGACAGAGTATTAATACCAGATACACTGGGAGAGTTATTAGCAGAGTTGCAAACTGCCAAATGAGCATGTGCTGCAAGAAAAATTCCAACATAAACCCCCACCCAACTATACTTCATGGAAATTTGTAACAGCTTGCAGATACTCTGTAAAGTGTCCCCCTTTTCCAGTATTAGAAAATAGTTCCAAGGACACCTTTGTCAAAGATTTAGCCTTGATTTTCAAAGCCCTATTTTTTCCCTTTCCTAGGAAATTACCCAGAGTTAATACATCAAATAAATATATACATAAATTGAGTTCAACAGCAGACCTTAAATTCAGATGTCTATAATGTACAAAAAGGTTTAAACATCATTAGTCTCTGTTCCTGTATACTTGGATACAATGCTCCTCTGTGTTTTAGGCCCAGATCAGGTGTGTCCCCCTCAGCCAAAACCTTGGCTCAGCCCTGCCCTTACATTTCCCCCTCACTGTGGTCTCTGCCTCACAGCTCACTCATTTCATAAACAACACTCCCACGGGTTCTGTGATATACTGGATCTAACTCAGGAAATGGGATAGGACAGAGAAGGGAATGGACCTGGCATACCCAGGGAGAATATTTTAACTAAAAAAAATTAAACCACATTGGCAGCCAGAGCTGTTGTAATTAAAATAAGGTTGATTTTGCCCATTAACAAACCTGCTCTTTATTTTCATTGCAGGAAACCATCGATTCTGAACGTTAATGCCTTTCAGCTACTGGCCTGGCTAGAAACCAACATCCAGCCAACCCCCACAAGCACCAAGCACTTGGCTCAATGTTTTTCGCCAGGGTTACTCAGAGTACTTCTGCTACCCTGCAGACACCTGAAGACAGACAGGGCATTATCATAAGGAGCAGGACCTCCAAACCAAGCAAGTGTTGGATTCTGGGAATTTATTAGAAGCTGCAGCAGTACAATAGGTCATTACCTGCCTGAATACATTACACAGCGCTCCTGCAAACAGAAAATACCTAATAAAAAACAGCCAGTAGTGTCAATAGTCTTTTAAGAGTAGAATTAGTCACAGAAGACAACAAATTTTCACTTTAAATCCTTGTCCAGATTCTATGCAGCTCAGACACACACACCTGCCTAGGCAGACAGAACGAACAGGTTTGGTTATATAATTTCTGTGGTTGAGGTACCCACAACAAATGGAAAAATGAAAAAAGAGAACCCAAACGGAAATGTGCAGGTGTTATGTCAGGTTGGTTTTTTGAAGCATTCAAAAATAAGCACCTAAAAAGATTTTATGCCCTAACTTCAGAAAAAGTTGGGCAAATTCCCAGCATCATTTTCTCTAGAAACAGCAGGAGGTTTGTTTCCCAAGCCTGTCTTTAGGATGTCATTTCAACAGTTAAACGGCTGTGCTGCCTTCTATCAATTTCCCAAACAACCAGATCCAAGGAAGCCTATGTTCTGTTTGTGATGGGCTTTGAGAAACCTGTCACAGTGAAATCTGAGTGCTGTAGATAACTTCCAAGGGTACTAAAAGAGCCTCCCAGCCAGCAGCTTCCCCCCAGGGTGTAACTGCTGCTTCAGGCAGTGCCTTCTAATGCTCCCGTGTGTCACTTGAGACACCCCTGGGACCTCCTCACACCCACACCCCACCAACTGCCTGCCTTTGAACATCTGTGACCACAGCATTTCTCCCCTGTTCCTCCATCACAGCTTCAACATATCTGCCTAAGCCTATTCAACACCATTCCAACTCAGTTTCCTCAACTTAGGATTGTGCCCTGTAAACAACTTTTCAACAGAGAAAAAACAGTTTCTCCCAACAGTGTGTAGTGCCACAGATAACTAACATGAAAAATGTCCTGCAACGCAGGCACTGAATAACAAAATAATCATTTTTTCCACTCAGATGCTTTCTAATATTGCTCATGTGCTTTTTTTTTGTGAGATGTGGTGTTCATAATAAATAATTTCAAGACTTAATGTTCACTGGCTCCTTTGTCACCAGCAACTCTTGAATTGCCAAATGAAAAATATTTCTTTTTTTTGGTATTCTGTAAAAGGACCATATATTTGTCAACAATTTTATAACTCTTAGCAGTACTCCATGAATATCATCAGCATTGGATCCTCTCTCAAAGGCCTACTATATAAAAAAAAATAATTTAAGCTGTGAGTCTGATGATTCCCTTTTTCTCTTTATTACAGCAGCACTATTCGTGCTGTTATCATTACAAGTCTGGTAGAATTTTTATTAGAAACTGCTACTCCAGGGGTTTATAACTCGGCAGTAAAAATTCACTCCAGAATGAAACTTGTCATGCAAGGGAGCTCTTATTTAAGCCCAAATGTCAGAAAATTATATTTATACATTTTAAGTTATTTTAAAGCACTTTCAATTGTTCAGGCAATTTGATTACAACAGGTAATTTGAGCCCCAGCATTGCAAAAGGACCTTGCTGAACGTGACATTCAGAGATCATTTCCCAAAGCTTGTGGTCAGCATATGACTACCAGGCCAAAATCTCTGTATGTCCATTTTTAAGGAGTGCCTTAACACAGACAATATATTATCAACAGTACTTAAATCTCTCACCAAATTCAGTTGCTGTCTGCTCAGAGCTAAAACCAATCCTTCATATCACTCCGGTTATATCAAAGACAACTATTTAACACAGTTTCACACTGCTCAGAATTCCAGAGCCTCTCAGGGACTTCAGCACTCAGCTCCTATTGCATTGCAGTGCATGCTTCAGCAGAGGCCCAACTTTTTAGCTCCTCTGCAATCCCTAGCCTAAGATACCTAAATAAATATTTTCAGAGTGCTACAGAAAGCAGAGGTAAATCTTCCGTGACCTTGAATTGTTCCGTGTTTTCTTTACTGTTCTTTAGAAAACAGGGAAAATAAAGCAAGCAGCTAATTGCAACACATACAATAAGTTATACTTCTTTGAGTGCTCAAGTGGTCATATTAAAACAATGTAAGTGCTTAAAGGAAGAGTGATAAAATCCCACCACCAGAAGCATCTGCAATACAGCAGGAGATGAGAGGGGACCTGGGGCTCAGCGACTGGCAGCTGTGCTGTGGAGATGCTGGGGAATCCTGGAGGTACAGAGCTGCAGGAGAATCCTGGAGGTACAGAGCTGCAGGAGAATCCTGGAGGTACAGAGCTGCAGGAGAATCCTGGAGGTACAGAGCTGCAGGAGAATCCTGGAGGTACAGAGCTGCAGGAGAATCCTGGAGGTACAGAGCTGCAGGAGAATCCTGGAGGTACAGAGCTGCAGGAGAATCCTGGAGATACAGAGCTGCAGGAGAATCCTGGAGGTACACGAGCAAAGCACGTGTTCCGAAAATGAGGAGTGAAGATCTGAGAACGGGAAAGCTGGAAAATGGGGATGGGCCCCTTGTGAGGGAAAATTGAGGGGTGGACTGAAAGGGAGACTTCTTTCCATATTGGGATTTTGAAATGTGGTTGCTCTGTATAGCCAGCTTTTGGGCAGACAATGTTTTGCTGGACAGAATGGTCAGACGAGAGATAGGGGAACGCAGAAATACTCCTGCCAGGCAAAGGGGCACAGAACTTCCTCAAGAGGACTGGTTTAATAGCTCTGGAGTGCTATGGAGAAATTTTAATACTCAAACTGCAAACTACATTCCCTTCACTCTGAAGGCAGCAGGACACACCTGACAAACGCTTCGTAGGGCTCCCATTTTTGCAATAACATTTATTTGATGAGCTCACGCTGCACACAAAGCTCTGTTTTACCCCAGTGTGCTCTGTGCAAGTGAATCACTCCAGTGGGACTGAGAGATTGCAAACTATGAAGCAACTACACTTAATACAAAATGTCAGTTCAGCCAAGGTGGGGTTCTGGAGGGTAAAGGGAGAGTTTGCCTCTTTAAAGATGCCTGATTTTGAAATGTGGCCAATGAAACTAAGTTCCAGAAATCCTCCAGAAAAGCTTTTTGGTCTTTTCAACAACATCAGTTAATAGTTGCACCACTTGTGAATTAATTCTCTTTATTGTTCATTAGACCAAACTCTGGTCATTTTAAGTGGAAGGGAGCTTTGAGGAAATGATCACTTTTTTAGAGGAATTCCTGATTTGCCTTTGACCAAGACTGTTCCTTATGCTGCTGTAACCTACAGTAACTGTTGTCTGACAGGAGCTTTTAACTGAAACTGCTCACATTACAGCTGTGATAAAAGCAGAGTGGAAGATGAAGAGCCTGGCTTTATAGGTTTATCCTTCACTCCCCCCTCTTTAGGTGAGATTTCTATCGTTTGCTGTACTTTGTAACACATTGAAATATTCAAAACCAAAGTTTTCATGCCAGCTCCCACAGAATCAGGCAAAATCTCTGTGAGCAGCCAAGGTGGGTGAAGGAGCAGCTTTGCTGTCATGGAACAAAAATGGCTCAGGGACATAACACAGCCCCAGAACATACAGGGCAAGAAAGCTGGAAGCAGCACTTACCCGAGGGAACACTGATAAAGTGAAACACCCACTTTTAAAAATCAGGCCTAGCAAATAATTCAGGAGAAAGCAGCATTTCAATAGCTTGCAGTTGTGTTCTTATTCTAACACAAACTTAAACACGGACTTGAAGGGCAGCACCACTACCTGAGAGCTGAGAGGGTTCCTTTGATCCAAGCTGGCCACGTTCAGAGGAGGACTCCAGAGTACCACTGGGATGGTCAGGAGTTGCATTTCTGGCTGAATTTGTAAGTCACTAAATGTAAGTTAGTTATTGGCAAACAGATGGACCTCCTGACATAGAATTATTGTGGTACCTCTTTTACTGCCTACCAGTTTAGTGTTTCAGTAACTTCAAAAAGCCTGCTTATGGGATACTCATGAGCACCATTAACGCCCTATTGCTTCATCTCAGATCCAGTTTTGTGGTCTTCCAGTTCCAGCATTTATGCCAAACAAGGCATAGATGTGATCTTCTCACTTCTGGAGCACTTTTTTTCAGCATCAGAGCTTAACAGAACCTCTTCTGAGAGGGTGGACAGTTTTCCCGAGGCTCTAGAACAGCATATTGAAAAGACCAAACCTGTTCAGACAAAATAATCTAAACCACAGCTCTGTTCTTGAGTCACACTAAAACTTTAAAAGAATGAAACACATCACAAAGAAACCAAGCGCATATTTTAGCTTTATGTATGTGCTCAAAACTCACTGGCATTGGTTTAATTGCTGGATTAAACAGGATTGACTTCAGTATGTACTTAAATACTTTACTGAACTGGGAATTTTACAGATCTCATTTACCATGAAAAGATTTTAGCAATGAGCCAGGTGTACAGTAGTTATGAGCTTCTGAAACTTTTATGTACTGATGGGGAATTTACAAAAAACGAGCTTCAGATTGCTACAAGCCTGAATCCCCTTTGACTTGCACTGGAAATTCAACTCTTAATGAACTCACACAACTCACCACTTTGACAATGATTTCCATAATCCGGAGTTTGGCAAGTGAAAACATATTCTAGAGATCTTCTATGTCTCTACAGCTCTGCAAAGCTTATTAATCCATGGGTGGTATACTAACAGATGTTACAAAGAAGCACTGTCTTAAAACACTTAAAAATACAAACGAATTTGCAGCAAATGCTACAGATTATGGAAGTCTCAGACAAATGTGCAAACCCACAGTGTCCTCAGTAAAACAACTGTCTCCTCAAAATTATCCATACTAGGTGGTCTGCAGACAAACTGTCAAGACAAATCTACTTGTGTATGTTTTGGGAGATCTGCCTTTTAATCCATGAAGTAGCTCTGTGTTCTTACATTTAACATTTTCACTATGATAGTGATAGGAAAAAGTTAGCTAAAAAGAAATTCCAAGGGCAGAGCCATTAAATATCAGTGGTGTTGGCAACATTCTCCCAGACATTATATTCCTTCAGCCCTTCCTCACTCAGGATTAGTGTTTTGGAAGAAGGTAAAATGTACATCAGGTTGCCAGTACAGAGTGATTCCAACAGGCACACGAAATGTTCCTGGGCTGGAACAGAGAGAAATCCCCTGGGGCTCAGCAGTCCTGAGGCAGACAAAACTCCCTTTCACATCACTGGGGAAACAGCCAGAGGGAAGGGTGACCACTGAAATCCACTCCTGGGGAGCTCATGTCCCAGAGGAGCTTGTCCATCACTGCAGTGATTTCCCTGGGCTCTGGATCAGATCCTGACAGCAGTGAAAGCACTGCAGTTGTGCACACCCTGCAGCAGCTCTTCTCACAGCAGGCAGAAAGGAAAAGCCAGACCTGAGAACCAGCCCAAGCACCTGGCCAAGATCCCCTCTGCTACAGCCACAGCTCTGTCTGTCCTCCAGAGCTGCAGCCACCCAGAAAACTCCACCTCCTTTACTCTGCCTACAGATTATTTCTGTAGGAAAAATACTTCACCTTAACTTTTATATATTAAAACAAATTGTGTTATGTGTACTACATATGATTATATAAATTATAGACATATATACTGTATTATTAGATATGTTTTCTTGAACAATTTATACATTGTACATACTAAAATGATTAAAGAAAATCTCTTATCATACCTAATGTACACAGGTATTCAATGCCAAGCTACTTTTTCTGCAAAAAATACTAAAAACTGTCCTTTTACTTCACTGACCTATAAAAATACATTTTAAAAATATCAGCAGTCCAACTTTGTCTACTTATTGGTAGAGCTATGTTATCAAGTAGGTCATAAAGTAGTTTTATTTTTAGGTACATTTTTAGACACTCATAAGGGGCTCAGTAGATCCCCACCTATATAAATTGCTGATGCTTCCATGTGATGAGTTAGAGACATTTTCCAAGTGCAGATGATAATTACAATTATTAGCATTTATAATAAAATGACTAAGCTGGAGATATTTTTGGAAGGGTACAAACTGTCACTGATCAGTTATATCAGCCCTGATCACTCGAAATGTGTGCAGAATGGGAGCATCCAGCATGTTGCAAAGACACAGAATCATCTCTGTGTTTGTCCAACCTACAAACGACGGTGCCAGCATGCCTGCAGATGTGTTCTTCTGTTGAGACACGAAGTCACAGGCAGTGGCTCAAGGAGAACAATTCTGTGATCAAATGGAAGTTGGAAAATCTGAATTCACAAGCCCAACTCAGCTGAAGCACCAGCTTTTCCCTATGACCTTGTAATATCAATTATTTGGTAAAGCAGTAAATAATCACCTACTCAAGTTCTGCCTTGTCTGAAAGGATCTGGTACAAAGTGGATGGATGGAGTTTGATGGAACTGGGATTAGGCTCTTTGACCAGACTGCTTGAAGGCAGTGATTTATTCCACACTGGTAGAGCACCCTGTGCAGCAGAACCTGCACCAAAAGGCAGTTTGAGTGGTTAAACACTGTATTTCTGGTATGAGATGTTCAGGTTGTGACCCTCCTGCTCCTCTGCCTTTCATTTCAGCCAGTCCTTCCCCACCAGATATGGTGACAAAGGTAAGCAAAAGCCTGAAAGGAGCTGCAAGCAGAAAGCCCACAATTCTCATACAAAGTCAGCTCCTGCACCTAATACCTCATTTTAACTGCATTTCCTCTGATACTGGGACTTCCACACGCTATTGCCGACTGCTTCTCACAAAGTAACAGCTAGAAAAGACCACCAGGTATTTAGGATGCTCTTTCAGAATATGTGATGCCATAAACACTTGGAATGGGCCTTGGAAAGCCTCTTACGAAGCACATCTTCCTGAAGTCAGGTGCACAGTCAGTCTTTGTATCCTCTTTCCCACATGCCTATTTGAGAGTGATGTCTTCTATTAACAGTGAGCACAGCAGTCAGCCATCCCCCCAGTCAGATACAGGGGTATCCAAACACCCAGCCTTGGGATTTGGAGGGGAGATACATCTTCTTTGTGCTATACATTTTTCAATTATTAAGTTTTCTTAACATCTCCCTCTTTTTAGAATACATGAAGGAGTGTCAAGGAAATGCACTGCTCCCACAGTTCGTGGCAACAAGCAGATGGAACATCAGAAGGCTGAAACCTCAAAATTTAAAACTATGGGAAGAAATACATCTGTTCTTATTTCTTGCTCCTATAAAAGATGAGGAAAATGAGAAGAATTTGGAGGCTGAGAACCAGAGTCATACAGTATGCATCAAGATGCATACAGGTTCTCTCTTGTCTTTGTCTCTACAGCACACAAACAAATGGAATCGATCCCAGGACACACTGCTGCATATAAATAACTGCAGGATGACATTATTAGGCCAATTACTAGGACCAGCTACAGACTAAAAGAAGATGACATTTTTCTTGTTATGTCTCTCAGCTCTCCAGTAATAATACTGGCTCACATCCAGCCTTTTTCAGTGCAGTTACATCCACATGGGAGGTGCTGGGTGCTGCCTGCTACTGCATCATTCTTCTCACAACAGCTCCTTGATCTTACCATTTCAACACACTCAGCTTTGCTCCTAAGCCTGTTCTTCCCTTCGAGTGTTTGAGTGCCTGTTCAGTCTCACTCTGCTTGGGGGGCTGGATAACTTGGGAGTTGAAATGAGTCCAGCAGTTACACTGGGCCTCCCCAACTGAATTGCCATTTTCATTCCTATTGATCACCTTTATAATGGGAGATGACCACCAAGTCGTCCTTAGAGGTACTTTGAGGCACACAGGGAGATGGGCTGAGCTCTTACATTGAATTACTCTGCACTGAGTTTCATTTGCAAATGTGATGGATTCATTTACATCCCTTGTGCTTTAGCTCACTCGGCTCCAGGAAATGTCAAAATCAAAGAGATAACAAAATATTACATAATATCAATACTTCCTTCCTTTCCTTTCCCCAAAGTTTATAATGATTTGAATGTAAACTCAGTTTTTGTTTCAAATGTAGTCCAATCTCATTAAATAGGAGTGTGGGATGGTACAAAAGATTCCTGAACCAATCTGGGAAATCCTTTACTGAACCAAAATTCACTGCTTGGTTTGCTCTGCGATCTCTGCCTTTGCTCTCCTGTTGCAATTGCTTCTATGTGTACATTTGATTTAGAGTTAGTTACTAAGAAAAATCCAGTTACCTAAGTTACAAAATTGCATCCTGATTTGTACCAAAAAACTGACCAGACTGAAAACACCAAGTTCCTGAAGATATTGCACTAAAATGAAAATATCTGAGAGGGAAATTCCAGAGTGTCAGGGAAGAGCTGCTAAATGATATGAATCTACAGTAACTGCTCGGAACAGGCAGAAGGAACCTCGCAGTCTATTACCCAACTTTGCTACACTACCAGCTGCTGGCTCTCCCTTTCAAAAACTGTCTGAAGGTGCTTCTGCAGAATCTGCACTCCCCATCACAATGAACATTGGTAATGAACACAAACTCACGTGTTAATGAACACATCCCATCTCACCCTCTCATACTCCACAGTTGTACAATGACACCACTTTCCAGCGGCCTCCAAGGAATCCTTAACAGTGGAGCAAGCCTGCAGGATTAGAGGAAAAAGATTATTGAACTTTTAAGCCCTATTCTTTCCCCTCATCCAACTCCAAACACAACTGTTTATGCATAAATTTAATTTATTCCAGAAGTTCCAGTTTCATTTATTCCAGCATATTCTCGTGGGAACACTAGTTGGAAACTGGCAATTCCAGCAAGCTCTGTGTTTGTCTCGCCCTACTCAACCATCAGGGTTCAACAGATGAGCTGATATCACCAGTGCTCCCTGGAACTGTCACCAGGGCAAGGATTGCAGGGTTTTCATCCCAGAAACCTGCACTTGTAGCCATCTGAAAGTTTCCAATAAATTCCTCTCCACTAAGCAAGCTTGGAGACTGCCAGAAAATTCCCCAAAGAAGTGACAATTCCTTAGGGCAAGTTTTTATTCACAGAATATCTGACTTGAACCAGGAGGATCCTCCTCAAACTTTACCCTCTGATAGTTCTGCTTATCACAGAGGGAGCCTTTTGCAGTTTAAGCAGTGGAGTTACAGAGAAGGAGGAATAGAGAAGCAGTTTGGAATCTGTGTATCCTTCAGATATTCATCATTTCAATATTCCACATCACGATTTTAAGTCATGCTTTAAAATCTTGCATTATCAGAAAACTCTATATAATTTTCCAAATTCACTCCTACTGTTAAAAGCAAGCATATCTTTTAGGGTAAGAGAGGGGATTTGCACAGGTTTTTAAGTTTAATTATTCCAAAAGGCAAATTGGAAAACTCCAAGAAATTGCTAACTTTTTTCCATCACAAATATTTGGGTGCCCAAATAGGAATCCAGGGCCCATCTGTGATGAAGGCTGCATGTATTCAGCATTCTGATGGTGTCTCAGTATAACCCCACTATAGCAGACAATCTAACACCTGAACTTTCACAGCTCTCCACATATCAAAAATTTTAATTTAAGGCAATGCAGAAATGAAAGAATAAAATATTCAACATGTTTATACACACACACTTTACCTTTCTCTCTTAATTAACAGTAAAAACAGAGATCAGTACTCGGTCCTGGGCAGGGCTACAGCAATTACTGAGTTATTAGCACTTACAAAGAGAGGATGAGGCCAAGGGGAAAGAACCCAAATAACAAGAAGGCAAATTGCAAAGCAGTAGCACTGCAGTGAGGGGCTCACATTGCACCAGGTGCTGAGCCAGCTCTAGATGAAGCCCATTAAACTGAACCACATCTTCCTAGGAAGGGTTGTGTCAAATATATTTGTGCTTTGCTAAACCTAAAATACAGTTTCATCAGGCTTAAAGTCCTTGGTCTGTCATCCCTGTGTGGTAATTGTGGCTCATGTGAACAGGCAGAAGTCTAATAACCAAACAGGCAAAATGGTAGTAGCTTTAGACTGAAAAATCAGGGCAATCTGGTATATCAAAAATTCAGGGGAAGCCATCTCCATTACACCAGGGTTGTTCCACAGGCCGGGCTCTCCACCCCACTGCATCGGGGTCACCACATTTCTATTTGCAATATAAAATTCATGGCACTGCAACAGAGAACCCAGGATACCCTTGGGCTCCTCCCAGAGAAGAATTCTGCTCTGCTACCTTGCTTATTCCATGGTAAAGCTTTTGAAGTAATTTAAAATACCTTCAGATTTTCTTAACAGCACTGATTAAAAAGCTCCAGATTCTTACATACGCAGTCCTTTAGCTTCACTTTCAGAAAACCAGTGATTTAAAGCAGCACTTGCAAAACGTGCAGCCCAGTGCATGGGTTCCCACACCTACACTGCTGTGGGACAGGCACTCACAGAGCCTCTCCAGGTTCAGCCCTGCTCCTGTTCTTAATTCATGCAGTTTAATCTGAGGTCACTGCCATTTACGTCAAATAATTTTCTGAAGAATTTCCTGTACAACTTATTGGCACTCACTGTTCTGGGTTACGAGTGTACAGGAGATCCTTCACAGACACAGCATTAAAATCTCTCCTAATCCCCTCACAGCAAGCGTGCCCAGAGTACCCAAAATATTCCCATAGTCTCACCCTTAAAAAGAAAAAAAAATTCAAAAGAAAAGGTCAAACGTGCTTAAGGGAATCTTCTACCAAAGCATAACTGAGAAGGCACAAGGCCTTGTAAGTGCTGTTACCAGGCTCAGTATGAGACAGCAATCAAGTGCTCTGCCACCAGGAGCATCATTCCAACAGGACACCTGATGTTTATCTGAGAGGCACTGCAGAATATGCAGACAATTCTCTACAAGCAGGCACACAGTCGTTTCATGCCACAAATTAAAAGGAAAATCAAGACGAGAGTATTTAGAGAATCTGATCAACTGCACTGAAGGATTTAAAGGCTCCCCCCAGTCTTTTTAGCTGTTCTTAAGCCAAAAGCCTTAGTTTAAAATCAGCACAAAAGAGCCCAGAAGCTCACTACAAGTAAAGCCAAATGTGTCCTGGGCTGATCAAAAGCAGCATGGTCAGTAGGTCATGGGAAGTGATTCTCCTCTGCTCCACCTCAGGAGATCCCACCTGGAGTACTGGATCTATGATTTCACGGAATAAATTTGTGGACAACCAATCTCCACTGGATGTGCTCCAGCCAAGCTGGACAGTCAGTGCTAGTCTCCTTCTTGCACCTCATGGACACAAGAAATGGGCTCAGATGCAAACCTGGCACAATCTGTGAGTTCCTGCCCAGTAAAAGAGAGGTTTCTGTACAGCGAGGCATGAAGCACAAACCTGTGACCCCACGGCAGTAATCCTTCAGCAGACGCTCGCGGGGACATCAAGGGGCCCTAGGAAGAAAGCAACACCTAAGCAAGCAGTACACAGCCACTCTACCAGACCCAGTGACAGCCAGCTTTGTTCAAACAAATGTTCTCAAGGTATTGGAAATGCACCTACTTGCAGAAAAAATAGAGAAGGTCATAAAGAGTCAAATTCAACAAGACATTCCACCCAGGCCTAATCGTGAGTTGGCACTAGGGTTTCCACCAACACCTTCGTGTTACTGCAGCTCAGGCAGAAAAGCAGAGTTTTCAGCTCTACAGTTGGGATTATTAGTGTTTTGAAGGAAAAACAAGACAACAGGATTTTGCTGGGAAAGCCACTGGTTTAGATCTCCTGACAAGAATTACATTTTGCATGTACAATGCATCTTAGTTCAGACGGTCTTGTCAAGAAAAAACTCAGCTTGTGTCCAGACAATCTGTAGGGTTACCAGAGTCCTCTGAAAAATAGATTTTTACTTGTGAAATAGTATGGAAAATACACACCAGTGAATGAAAACAGGAAAAGTCTGGAATTCCATTATGACACTTTTACAGACATTCAAACTACAGCTGCAGTGATTAATATTTATGATCAGGTTATCTTTCCCCTCCAAAACAGTCTATTTCGTAATAATTCTCGAAGACAACATGCAGATGCCATATGGTCCCGTGAACATCTGCAGCCCAGAGCCATCTCTGTCAGGAGCACTGAACGCCAGTCTGAGATTGCCCAGGAGTTTCCATCTGATCTGCTGCCTCAGGGACTGGAAGAGCAATAACAATAAAGGGAACCGTGAGTGTTGTTTAATGTTTTCCAATGGATCGTGCACATTAGAAACAGCAATTAATGATTTGGTTTATAATGCTTCAGGGAATTACTGTCCAACAAAATAATGTAAGTAATTTAAATTTGCAATAAAGTTTAAGTGTGCAGGAATTTCGTGGCAGCACACAGCACTGATTGGCCAGAGGAAAACAACACTGTTATTGCAGCCACATCCAGATAATCCACAGAAAAAGCCATATCAACCCCTAAGTGATTTGATCATACTCTCTTACTGTGCATGAGTCCTCAAAGGCATATTCAAAACCACATACGCCTCACTAAAAGACTACAGGAGCAAAATCCTAGCACAGAGTTAAATAACTCTTTTTTACTCCTTAAAGGCATTTCTGCAGTCCCCTCCTCCAAAATATACTCCCCAACACTTGCAATTATCATTATTATTTTATTTTTAAGAGTGCCTGTATCACTTAGCCCACAGCATCATAAGAAATTAAAAATCAAACCCATTAAATAACCTATATAAGAAACAGCTGTGTTTGCCCAAACTTCCCATGGCCATTTCCTTTAAGGGTAAAAATACCTGGGAGCTGCAAGTGAAAAATTCAGATTAGCACCTCTCTGTCTGCAGCCCCAAATATCTGAACTTTTCCCTCCTAAAAATGCTTGCAAAGATAATGTTGTAAATCGTGCCCTGCAAGTCAGTACATCCAAAGAGAAGAAACGAGTTTTGGAGGAAAAGACCTCTAAAACAGAGCTTCCTTACTAAAGCAGACTTGAGCTTTTCACCACCGAGGGGATGTTGCAAAGTTTGGCTGTACACGTGAAATGATTTATTTAAAATACCTATCCAAACACAAAACAGACACTTGATCTCAACATCTCAAACTGATGTTGTGTACCTTCATCTTTCCCATTTCCACTCCACATTCACAGTGGGTTTTTTTCCCAGTGCGTTTCTTCTGACCTGATCAGGAAAGTCCTTTAATGGAGTTGTTTAGAAACTGGAAAGCACAACTGGAAATATTTTCAAAAGAAACTAAATGTATTTTGGTAATGTCTAAGGATTTTATTGAAATGTGTTTATGCAACCTTGGTCATATTAATTAATTTTAAATGTCAGGTAATTATTTTTTAATTGGAAAAAAAAAATTTAAAAATTAATGAAAAGTTTAAAACTTCTGCAGAAAATTCTTAAGCACCTTGAATGGGCTGATATTTATTGACAACATCAGAGGTGACATACTCAGACTTGCTTTCTTCCAATATATTCAACACTGATATCTTCAAGATATCTCTGAATAAAGTTACCCCAGTGTCTCTAGCAGCTGACAAAAATGCGCTGATGGATTAAAAAATCCTAAATATTTCTCTCTCAAAAAGTAATCACGGTAAAGTTACTCTTCCCAGCATGCCTCACCTGCAGCAAAAGAGTTTTCATCTGCCCCAGGTTTTTTAGAAGAGTCCTCATCATCCTGCAATGTAAAGCCATTCCCATATTTCATGTGCTACTTCTCCTGTCTCCAGGAATTTCCTCCGAGTCAATTCATCACACCACACTATTTCAGTGGTATTTATTAAGGCAGCTGCACTCACATACCAAAAGGCACCACGTACTCCTCTAGGGTCTCCTCCTCCCCATGTCCACAGGTGCACCAGCACTGTCTCCCACAGCTCCGTGCCTGGGCACGCCAGCCCCGTGCCATGGGAAACACCCCACCCCCTGCACACAGACAGGGAAAGGAAAGCACTCCTGGCAAAATAAAACTCTTCTGGCATTATCCTCGATGCCAAGCAGGACTGAAAGAGAAGGACCCCTTCTTCCACTGTCCACCCCCTGGAGCAGGAATGCCTTCCATTGCCATATGTAATTACTAATCGTGGGACTGGAGTGAAACCAAGCAAACAACTCATTCCTCTAACTTCCCACATTTCCGAAAAATTAGTATCAAGTTTAACGCATAAATTCAAACCTTGAACACAGAGTAAAATTCATTTGCTCAAGTCCCCCATTCCAATGGCAGTCACCTGCATCCTCCTCCAGAACAGCAAAAGTTGAGCTACATTAACACACCTGAGCTGTGCATGTACCTGGGACCCTCCTCACTCAGCTCTCAGATTCCAGCTGTGATGGGCATCAAGGTATTCATTCACCTGACCCAACACATTTTATAGCTCAAGTCCTACCAGGAGAGCAGAATCTACCCCAGCTTCATATGGAGTGAAAGGCAGTTTTCTAATCTCTGTAGGCAGAAGACAACTCTGCCAACATTACCAGGATGGGGTTGTTGGTCTATTTTATGCCACAGAAACTCAGTCATATGTGAGCAGGACATAACTATTATATGCAACAGGCACCTATGGACAGGATATCAAGAATATTTTAACCTTTAATGGTAAAAGGATATTCAGTCAATAAAAAACCCGTATGTCAGTAGAGCAGTGAGGGCAACCTTAATACCACAATGTGCCAAAG